GTAGGGAAAATGCTGCCAAGGCTCCGTGAGCCCAGGTGGATCCAGTAGCATTGCAGCCTCCCCCTGCACCCACTTGCATTGTCCTGAGCCGTTTGGGTTGCTGTCTCTTGTTTGAAGAGCACAAAGTGTTCTGAGGTGTGCAAGGGGTGTGTGTGTAGCCCTGGGGATGATCCCTCTGCTCCCCAGGCAGGCTGACTTCTTGTTCTCCAAACCTGTAGGAGGTTCTCCAGAGTTCAGACCTAATTGGTGAGCAGCAGGTCCCAAAGAGGAAGAAGTTGAGTCCTGAGTCAGAAAGAAATGTAGCACGACAGGAGTTCCCAGTGGCTGGAGCTGCTATTGTCGTTCTCTTCATACCCACAAAGGTAGGCAGAAAATTCGATCTGTGCACCAAGAAAAGTCCAGGAAGCTCCTGGTTACTCCAGATGCCTCTTGGGAGGCTCCTCTCACATCCTGCAAGCAGCTGCTTGCACCAGGAAAGGCAGATGTGTCCCCTGAGCAGGGCTGTAACAGATCCTGCTCCCTGCTTGTTAGTCCGGCCTTGGGGCTTCTGCCCAGGCACTTGTAACCTCATTTCTCCTTGGCTCCTGGTATTGCTGCAGTCTGTGATGGAGAGGGGCTCTTAGGGCTGAGCAGCAGAGCTTTATTGCTTTATTTGTTTCCCAGCATCTGTGGCTGCTGTGACATGAAGGGGAGGGAGGGCAGCCCGCCCACCCCGCTCGCTGCTGCCCCTGTTCAGACCTAAGCCCTCTGCCAGCTGTGAAGTCCTCCTGGCTTCTCCCTGCCCCCCTGGGTGGGACCATGCTGGGTTGTTCCTGTCACAGGGAGCCCAGCCCATCCCATCCCATCCCTGTGTGCTGCTTTCCTCTTCCCTTGCTGTGCTCCAGCCCCGGCAGCAGCTCCCGACTGAGCAGCAGTGAAAGCCAGTTTGGCCGGACATGACCTTAACCTGGGCTTTATTTAGCGCCTTGATTTATGGAGGAGTTATTTTAGAAGCGTGTTTCTCTTTTGGGAGGTGTGGTGGCGTGGTGGCAGTGAGCTGGAGTTCATAGGTCCTCCTGTGCTATTGACAAAGAGGCGTTTGAGTTCCAAGCCATCTCTTGCTTGGGGAGATGCTCTCTGGCTTGCTTGGAAAGTGCCCTGGCTGGGGTTTGTGCCAAGTGGCCGAAAAGGAATAATTTTCCAGGATCCTTTCTGTGAAGGGGATGTGGCAACAGTGTTGGAGGCAGGGAAGCCAGAAATTCAGAGTCCCTGAAGGAGGCTGCTTTCCTCCAGGAGAGGCTCCTGTGCTGGGCTCTGCCAGCTCTTGGGGGACACTGTGGGCTGGCTGAAGTGGAAGTGTCCTGGGGCAGGAGCGCTCTGTCCTTGGATCCTTGCTGGGTTTAGCTGGCTCTCCTCCTCTCCAGGTGCTGTCCACTCCTCCTGGGTCACAGAGGTTTCTCCTCATGGCTGCTGGAGGTTGCGTTGCCTGCTTGAGCAAAGTGATGGAAACTCTGGAATAGGTTGCCCGGAGAGATTGTGGAGTCTCCTTCTCTGGAGATACTCAAAAGCCATCTGGACTAACGTGCTCTAGGGGACCCTAACATGCTCTAGGAAACCCTTCAGTGGTCTGGGGGACCCCTAATATGGTCTCAGGGACCCTGCTGGAGCAGGGAGGTTGGACTGGATGACCTCAGTGATGCCTTCCAACCTTCCACATTCTATGATTCCGTGATGTGGTTTGTAGGTAGGACGGGCTCTGGACTTCAGGTTTATCAGCCTCTGGGCTGCAGGGCACTATCCCCTTCTCTGATTTCTATGAGTTCCCTGTGCCTCCAAACCACGTCTTTCCCATGTGTGTGGCAGCAGGCCCTGCCTGCAGGCTGGGTGTGTGAGGCTGCCCAGCTGTGCTCTGGCACTCAACAGCCTCTTACAGCCCCTGCTGAGGCCCTTTCCTCTGGCCCCTCTGCAATCTGAGAAGTTAATTAATACAAATAAGCAGTCCCATCCCTCGGATTGTGAGTTGGGTTAATGAGTCCCCGATTAGAGGTGAGTCTGCTGCTGTTGCAGGCTCCGAGCTCTGCCAGGTTCCACCCTCTGTGTTGTCAAGGTGACTCCCGAGGCGCTGCCACGTTGCACCCTCTACCCCAGCAGGACAAACCCCTGGGTGACCACCCTGGGTGGGTGGGAGCACTGCAAAGTGGTGTCACCCCCACAGTCACCTCTTGCACACAGAGGTACCATCCATCCTTGTTGTGCAGCTGCCCAAGGATGCTGGTGCTGCAATCACGTGCAGCGTGGTGGGATGTGGGAATTTACTCCCCCTTTGGGGCTTTTCACATGGAATTAGCAGAGACTGGGACAAACATCTCCTTCTACAAATAGAAGGGGTTGAAACCTTCTCTCTGTCCCTCAGAATCCTGCACAGCTCTCAAGGCTTCATGGTGTAGTCTAGCCAGAGGAGATAAAGGCTCTGTGCTGTGGAGTGCACTGTTAGCACTGCACTCTGCAGTGGCTACAGGCTATGGTTATCCTGCATTTCACTAAAGGAAGGATAATGTACGACCTGGTTTATTTTAACCATATAAAAGATTTTTGATTCGGTGCCAGTGTTAATAATTGTTTTGTGAAGGCTTTGCTAAGGCGGCAGGAATGGTGTGAGAACCTTGGAGCGATGCACTGACTCATGTGCAAATATTTTGACTTCTTTGTTTTATTTGCAATAGTAAACTTGACAAATTTCTTTTGGGGAGGGATCGATATCTAAGAGAATTTTGCTCAGGCAGGGCATGGGGACAGAAGATGGCACAGAACCAACCCCAGCTGGTTTCGACTGATACTTTGAAACCTGTGGGCTGTGGAGGGTCGGAGAGATTGTTGTCAAATGCCACCAGCAGCAATGCTCCTGTGATAGTGCCCAAGCAGGCAGCTGGTGCTGGGTGGGAGAGCACCTGTGTGAAGGCCAGTTTTGCCTGACAAGGCCAGAGGCGCTTGCTGGGACAGGTTGATGTCAACAGAGGTTATTATTTTTCTGAGTGGGAAGAAACTTGTCTAAAACAGCCTTCTCCTCCCATTTAGGGTTGGGGTTAAATGCTCACCCTAGCATTCAGTGTTTGGAAGTGTGGGGCTCCTGCTGTTGCAGTCCTTGGGTTAAGAACGTTGGGTTAAGGATTCCAGCTCAGGATAATCTATGGTCCTGTGAATAAGAAAAATAGCTCCTTAACCTCTGTTTATCCGGTTGCATTGGCCTTGAGGAGTATTGCAGGAGGCAGCTGATTTCTCAGGAAAGGTGTGAACACTTTAGGAGCCTGCTGCCATCCAGCCTTGCTTGTTGCTGCCACCGGGAGAAACAGCAGGAAAGGTAAGGAAGCAGCGCCGTTCCACAGGCAGCACACACAGTTTGCCTGTCACACGCGTTCTGCCAGCTCGGTGCAGGCAGGGATTGTGGGGGCATCTCCTGGGCGTCCCCACCTCTCCTGTGCAGACCCACAGGCTGTCCTACAACAGAGCAGGGAGTTTATATTGTGCTTAAAACACCCAGCCCTCTAAGGGAGGAACTGGGAGGTTGTTGAGCTGTGAGAGGTGGGAAGGCTCGTGTGAGGAGCATCGTCTCTGCTCGGGCTGCAGGTCGGTTCAGGCTTGCTCTGACACTGCTGCAGTTTCTCAGGCCAGTGGAGGTATCTGGAGTGATGAGCATGTGCTGCCGTGGAGTGGAAGAAGCAAAACAGTTTGTTTCCTCCTGATGCCCTCACCCTGCTGCTCCCCAGTGGTGCTGTAAGCTGTTGTGGCCCTGCTGTGTTTAACTTTCTCTCCCAGTCTTGCTGTGGGACTGAGCTATGTTTTCAGGCATGTCCATGCAGCTGTTCCTGTTCTGCAGGAGGCTGTAGGGCTCCTGGGCCAAGTGGCTGAAATGCCTTTCTTGTCTCTAGTGAAAGGAGGTGGATTCAGATCAGATGAGGACCTGGTCAGACACCTGAGTAAACTTTCATTTGGTTTTGTAGCAAAACTTACTCCCACTGGCTGTAAGTTAGCCCAAGGGATCCCCTCTAAAACAGAAAGGAAAGGAGGGATCCTGATCCTCTCTCCAGATATGTTCAACTTTATTTTTTTTTTTTTATTGTTACTTTTTGGCAAGCCCTCTTGATTTACACCCATGCAATAACTCAGATTTTGGCCTCTGGCCCTGGAATTGGTCCTGACACCGTGGGCAGGCTGTGGCTGGCAGGTTCTCCCAGATGAAGGTGGATCCAGGGAAGCCACTGCCTCTGATCTGTGAGCTGGAAACGGGCATCCCGTGTGTCAGTGTGTGTGCTCAGGGACCACTGCTCACATGCAGCCTGCGAGTCCTGCTGGGAGTCATCTCTCGGTGCAGAAAATTCCCCAGCTCCTGGAGCAGAGCCTTTCACGAGAGGCAAAGAGCTTGGAATGACGAGGAATCTCACTGGTGAGCGGCTTTCCACGGGACCAAGCGCTCTGGCAACTTACCCTGTGCTGGGATTCCACGGCACAGCAGGCTCCAACAGGAGCTTCAGCCCGACCTGTTGTCCCTGTTGTCCCTGGAGCTCCGCTGGGCCCACCGGGAAGCTGCAGCTCCGGGCTGTAACATGCCCAGTGCTGGGGGGCATCTGCAGCCCCGGGTAGCCAGGACTGGGGTGCCACCGATGCGCCCACCCCACGAGTCGCTGGCCCGCACGCGCTCACGTGCTGCGGTGAGGTCTAACAGCCGCCCCACCCCGCGCAGGCAGGAGAAGGACTTGCTGCGTAAGCAAAAGCTGGGAATTCTCGCCGCTGTGCACAGCGCACTCTGCGAGCGCTCCACTCCCCTTTTTGGGGAGAGCTTTGCAGTGTTTACCTGGAACCGCCGGTGCCAGGGGGAGCTAAGAAGGGACGAGCGCTTCGCTCCTTCGATCTTCGCTCCCCCCCCCACCCGCGCTGGGAGATGGCTGCTCTCCTGGGCGCAGGGCTCGTCGGGGCGCCGGGGCGGATCGAGCCGTGGTCCCACTAAACGCTTTGTCTCTCGGCAGGACTCGGAGTCGCTGGACGGCTGCATTCAGAGCACGTTATCGACGCTCTACCCTCCGTTTGAGGCCACCGCGGCCACCGTCCTGTGCCAAGTTTTTGATGTGGTGGAGAAGACGTACCGTGGGGATGGACTGCGCTACCTCATAGACTTCCTGATTCCAGCCAAGCACATCCTGCAGTGCATTCAGCAGGATGCCTGTGTGAGTACATCACGCTCTCTAAGGCCTGGGGAGGCTCTCTTGGAGAGTTTTCTTTCTGCCTCTCGTGCGTGTAACGGCCGGCAGAAGGTACGTGCGGCAGCCTGGGTGGGAGGTGTGACGACCCACGGGGCAGGCAGACAGTTGGGAAACAGCTGAGAAATCGTTGTCGAAGCCAAGCCCGCGCGGAGATCAGGTGTGGAGCGGTGCCCTCGCCTTCCACAGCCAGCAACACCGCACGGAAGGCGTAAGGGCTTCACAGGAAGAGGTTTAGCAAAGCACTTGCTGGATGTGGCTGACTCAGGTGGCCTCTGACCCCTTCCGTCCTCTGACCCTGTGGATGAAGCCGTCGGGCTCCCGCCACCGGCGGGAGGGCGTGCGGGGCGAAATGCTGCCAGTCGGTGTTTTTGCCAGAACTCCAGCTCCCCTTTGATGGTTGCTGGAACGGTCGCAAGGCTCGGTAGCCCCGAGGAGTCACGTTACATTTACTGCCAGAACGAGCCCGAGATTAACGTGCGTTACTGTTGGGAGCCTAAAATGTTAAACAGTGAGTCAAACGCCTCCATCACAAACTTGGCTCAAAGTCTGAAGGATGAGAAAAAAAAAAACCCACCCAAACAACCAGCCCCAACAACCTAAAAGTTGGGTTCGGTCTAGCCCTCTTATCTCTGAATGCGGAGCGGGTAAATGGCCAGGCTGTCGATAGAAGCCCTCATGGTGGAGGGCAAGGGACTTCTAGGAGGAGCAAAAGTATTAAATAGAAGCTGAAACAATCAGTTACTCATTTGTCTCAAGGAGGTGAAATGCTGTGGGGAAAGACCCATCACATAGGATGGATCCATGTAAAGCTGCGCATCTCGCAAGTAAGTGCTTGGGTGCAGTGTTTGTCCCACTGTGTTGTCAGCCAGCCTCCAGCTTGGTGCCAGTTTGTGTGTTTGTGAGCCCAGGAGGATCCAAGGCTGTACATAAGGATTTTTGGGAGCTGCTCTCTGTCACGAACACCGGAATAGGAATTATTCCATCACTATCTGTAGCTGCAGTTTTTAATTCAACGGTGCATCACAAGTTTTTCCCCTCTAAAGAAACAAAAGGCTTTTCGTTTGTGTGAACTGCTCATTATGGCAAGGCACCTCTCAGCTTTCCCCCAAACATCTTGGCCTCGCCAAGGTAGCAGTGTCCCCGCTCCTTGAGATCCCGGCAGCTTCCAGCAGTGCCTTGGGCAGGTGAGGTGGTGGAGGGGAGAGGGAGGGAAAGGGGCAGGGAGCCGAACCCGCAGTGCTGCTGTCCCAACAGGGCGGTGTTGGGGGCAGGAGGGGTGTGCTGGGCAGTCCTGGGGC